GGGTCGGTGCGGGGTCCCGGCTGCAGGTGCTGTTGACGCCCAGCTGTTGGGTACCCACGTCACCCTCCTACCCAGGCCAGCGCTGCAGGGTGTGCAGCCCAACTGAAGCACAGGAGGGTGCCTGCACCTTGGGCCGGGTGGGCAGCAGCAGTGCCGTGGCTGGCACCCATCCTGTGGTGAGGAGTAAGGAAAGGCACACAGCAGCTCTAGAGCGCAGCCGATGTTTCTGACAGCTGCAGGTCGGCGTGCATCCTTCTGCTGAAAGGAGCGATCTGTTCCCTCTCTCCAGTTTGTCTTCTGCTAGGCCACATTATAATTTGCTGGTGAGTCACAGGCGTTGCAGCCTGTGTTAATACTTGCAAGAAATACCTCTCCCGAGTGCAGCGTGAAGCCTGTAATAGACTGCAGTTACAGAGTTATCTTGACTTACTGCACCAGCAGCGGGGACGGTGGCGTTTCGGCAGAGCCACCAGTGCAATGGGCCGTGCTACACCGGCTGGCAGGCTCCTGCCCCAGAACCTGGGCATGCTGACCTAAGGCATAGCGTGTTGCTGGTGGCGGTCATGTTGCAAACAACGCCTGCCAGTGCTTGCCCCTGTAAATATCCCTGATGGGGGGAGCCGTGCTGGACTCTTCTCCACTGCTGCTACGGTGAAGCAACGCTTCATGTCAGCGAGAGCCATAAAACCGCTCTGCAGCTGGGTGCTCAAGCTTGCTTTTCTGACGCTGACTTAGCTAAACTGTGGGTGTTTGAGCCCAGTGGAAGAGACCGGCTCCCCCAGCCCCGCCAAGCCAGCTGGCTGCCAGGATGTGGGCAGCATCTCGCCCTTGCCGGCCCCTCAGCAGGGTTTCCAAGTGCAGGGTTGAACTTGGGGTTTCTCCGGGAACTTACTTTTGCTGCCATATGGCCTGTCTCAGCCTGGAAGACCTCCGGGGAGGATTTCTTCTAATGGGAGCTGTGTCAAAGATCACGCTTTCTCAGCTGTCAGACCTAAAAGCCTCCATCCTCCTGCAGCGAGTGCCAAAACGCTTGCCCAACCTGGGCCACGAGCTGGCACGGTCCCACTGGCTCCGGCAGACCGGGGCTGCAGACGGGACCCTTGGTGGTCCCTTGCGGAGCTTTTGGCAGCATGCGCTTTAAAGGTTTGCTTGTGTTGGCGTTTTCCTTCAGCTCATAAACAGCAGCAGCCGTTTTCCAAGGTGGTGTTTGCTGAAGCGTGGTGCAGCGTGCCAGTGAGTGCAGCTGAGCGATGCAGAGCAGTTCTGTGCACTGCTTGCAGAAACACTTAATTAGTCATTTGGAAAACAAGATCTGGATATGAAACTGTTTTCCATGGAAGAATATAGAGAGCAGTTTAAGTAGCCCCTCGGTTGCATTGGCTCTGGCGAGGAAAGCTTCCAAAAGTTTTCATATGTTCCCTCAGCTTGGCTCTCGCTGCCCATTGTCCTGCCACTGCAGCCCTGATGAGATACGACACGACTTAACGAAGCCCATGGCATCAGGAGAAAGGGAAAAAAGCCTCTTTTGCATCAGGTAGAGGGGTGGCAGATGGCAGAACCACAGCAAAGCAGGTGGAAGCATTGTGTGGTGACCCTCCGAATTAAGTTCGGTTAATTTGCTGTATCTCTATTAGCAACTAAAGTCTCCGGCTTCACTGCGAGATCTCTGATTGTATCTCACAGGCGGTCTGGCTGCGCAGCCCCATCTGTGGCTGGCCGCAGAGCTAAATCTGTCTTGAAGGCAACTGAAAAGCAGCTGAAGCCTCTTTTCTCTCTCCTCGGTAGCAGCAGCTCCCTGACTCGCGCTGGTAATGATGGCCGGCAAGGCTCTAAAACTGCGTTTTCTCCACAGGTTTCCTAGCTGGGGGCAGTTTTCCTTCCCACCGTTTGCCTAGAGAAGCAGCAAGGACGCCAGGGAGGCACAAGAGTCCCTCCTGCTTTGCAGCGAGGAGAGAGAAAGAGGCTGTGCTGGGGATGCACCGCGGCTGCCGTCCTGGGATGCAGTTGGACCCACAGTTGTCCCTTCGCCGGCTCCCAGCTGGCAGCTGCCACTAAACCTTCCTTTCATCGCCTGCCAAAAAGTATCCGGGAGGTTTTGTTCCCCCCCGCCCTTTAATCCCAACTTTCATAATTCGCCAGGCTAATGCCTGCAATCCCCTCCGCATTCAGTGTCACAGAGACGGGGGGCCCAGGAGCTGCATTGGGCTCAGCCGGGGAGGCTCAGCTCTTCCCCCCATGCTGGCAGACCCTCGGCCCCAAATGTTATCTGGGGCCATGGGTTTTAGCTGCTTGGTGGTTTGAAGCAGCTTGGAGAGATCTGGGTTTTAGGAGATGTCCACTCGAGTCCTGGCTGCGGTTTGGTGGGAGCTGCCACCATGGGAGGATGTTCTCGGCCAGCTGGAGACATGGTTCCTGCACGTAAGAGCACCAAGTTGTTTTAAGTTTTTGGGAATGAGACCAAACATCAAACGGTGTCAGTGAGAGATGAGTAAGCCCCGTCACTGTTGAAGGGGCTGGCAGCCGTCCAAGCCCCTTCCCGGGGGGGCTGCGCACCGGGTGGTCCTGGCCACCGCTGCTGCTCCCGTGCTGTGAGCCCCACAGCACAGCGCTGGGCGCCTTTCAGCTCCCTTTTTACTCGGCTCCGTGCTGTTCCCATGCTCGTGTGGACCTGTTCCTGTTTTCAGCAATCCGCTGCCTCAGTCCCCTGCCTTGCTCTGTCCCACGCGGGACCTCTTGCCAGCTCTGCTGACCCTCCCCCAGCCATCCTGTTGCTACATGGAGGTCCCGGGTCTGGCCCTTTGCTCAGCGCTGCGGAAAGATGCTGCCTGCACCACCAAGCAGCAGAGCACCCCACCGGTGCTTGCGTGGTGGGGCCGCGTGTTCTGGGTTAGTGTTTTCACTCCCCTTTGAATCTGCTGGATAACAAGGGCAGCGATCGCCTTTGCAAAGCAAACGCCAGCTTGCACATTCCCCAGGGTGGCCTCTGATCCAACAGTCACTGCATTTTCCCAGCGGCACCCAGTCCTGTGTCGCTCTGACCCCAGTGCCCTGGCTGGCCCTGCTGTTTCCAGCCGGCGCAGGCAGCAGCATCCACGTTTACCTTCCCAGGCTGGGGCATCCCTGCCTGCGCTGTCCCGGACCCCTGCGGGAGCAGAGCCCCCAGC